AAAATGAACCTATACTCAGGACAACCAGGCCCTCGAAGGCACGTCTGTCATTGCTTATCCACGCGCCACACCCCAAAGGTGTGTTTCATTGGCGGCCTGTCCAAGTGGTGGTCATAACCCCCCTTTGTATATGCGTCAGTGTTGTGTTTGTCATGCCAGAAGCTCGTCATACGTTGGCTATTTATCCAGTGGGGATGTAAGCCCCACAGGAATTATTGATACGACAAGTATTAAGATCCTTGGGTGGAAATATATATACTAACCTACACAATTATATATACTTAAGTTTTTCAGTAACTCCCTAGGGTTATCAGAAGGACACCTGAGATAAACGTTAACGTTAGCTGCAGCTCGGCTCGCAGCCCCTCCGCGATGTCCTCGGTCTACTAAACAGTGTCGGAGCAACACACACATTTTTTTTAAGGTGGAACTGCGTTCTTGAGTGTTCTTCTTCAAAATGTCATCAAACATAGTCTTTTGTCAGGGTTTTGATTTAAGAGTCTCCCCTTTAGAAGAAACTACATATTGTACATTGAACACATAGAGTCTCAGTGGAGGTAATTAGGATATGTTGACAATGATCAACAGAAATAAACATTTAAAAATTCGTCAAATAAAAAAAAAAGATAAAATATCTAAAATCTGAATCACCCAAACTCAGTTATTCATAGCAGCTTCATTATCATTTGAAAGGCGATCATCTGGCACATGAAATGAAGTGTCTGTAAAAAACTGTAAAACACAAAGCAAAAACTCCATCATGAAGACAAACATTAAAGCAAACCTGTGACAACGTGGGAAATGGAATGGGGGGGTGGAGCTGTCACAACCATGAAATTTTAGTACAAATAACTGTTTACCAATTTTATTGTCCTTTTCTGTTAATTTTATGCCTCACAGCGGTACTGTTGTGTTTGGTCTAAATGAATTTATGGATGTGCACACTTTTTTGGATAGTCCACCTACCATTTATTATAGTTTTGTATTTTGTTATGAGTTTTGGTGTTTATTTTTTAAAACCACATTGTTTTTAATTTTTGTTTTTAATATAGTTTTGTGTCAGTTAGTTTCAGTGTTTTTCTTTATTAGAATATTTATTATTTATTTGTCATTTGTGGGGTTATTGTCATTGGCAAGATTTAAGAAGTTCAGAATGGGTATTAAAATACACTGACTCAGTCATATAGACATCCTGGTCTCAAAAAACATATACACCAATTCCTCCTTATGCTCATGTTGGCCAAATTAACAAAGACTAAAACTAATAAATTTCCTGTACATTTACATTATTTTAGCTTATTTTGTAAGTAAGATAATATAAAATAAATGTATTGATATCATTTTAGCTTTTTTTAAGTCTTTTACTTTCAATTTTTATTTTTATTTCAGTTAACTAAAATGTCTTTTCACACTCCATAGAGTATTTGTAACATTTCAAGTCTTTCACTTTGTCTGTAGATGTTTAACACATTATCTATAGAGTATATATGTCAATTCATGAAAATACCCTAACAAAGATGTTTTTTGTGCCTAAACCTAACCAGACTTTAACCACAGTGGGGTAATATCAAAATGCTGTTGTTGATTCTCAACTGTTAACTCAACTATTAAGCTGTTGAAATGTTACAAATTCTTTATAAACTGTATTTATAATCTGTAGGTGGACTATCCAAATAAAATGTTACCAAACCTAATTAGTCTGATTTATATTGCACAACAATATGGTCTCCTATGAGCTGAAACAAAAGAACCTATCCAATAGCAGCAAGGTCTCCTAGATAGCCAAGCCCTTTGTTTCCATGTTTTTTTCCCTCACATTGGAACCTTGTGTACAAGTTAATCATTTTATGGATGGAAACACACCTGTAGGATCCAAAACTTGGTCACATGACCCTTCTTGTAGACTGAAGCAAAAGGGTGTATTAATCCACTTTCCCTCATACAAAAAGTCAAAGTCAGACAACACGGTCGGAAAAGTCTGCAGTTGCACTCTTCCCTGCAAATGTTATAATTAATCCTTCTGTATTCAGTTTGGACTGACACATTTCAAGCTTACAGCCAACACTTACTCTGTAGTCCAGAGTAGTGTCCACCTGAGTATACCTAACTGGCATTTCTGCATTTCACACTAACAAGTATCCACCGCTTCACCTCCAAACTGGCTCAGTAAGGTGATGACCCACTGTTTGATCTCTATCAGTAAAAGCTGAAGTTTGCTTACCTTTCATTTAAAGTTTTGTTTATTTCATTTTGAAACGGGCTAACAGCTTGCACAACAATCCCAGCACTGCTGGAAGTTTGAAGTTGTGCGATACTGTGTTAAGCTTGTGTTTATTTTATTATGTTATTGAGAGCTACAGTCTAGGTTACTTACTTAGTCACTTTAGGGTGACTCAACAGTGTGGTATGCGGTAATATGGCCATTGTTGTTGTTTTTGCTAATTACTTGGGATAATTTTTCATCTCAGTTCCTGTTTGTACTGCTCACCTACACTCTCCCTCCTCCTGCCTCCTGGGTCTGTGACCTGTTAACTGGCAGCTTCCACTCGTTAAACCAAAACCCTGGTAAACCGTGGGACGCTAACGTCACTGTTATGGCCAATGGCCCAGTCGTTGTCTTCTACTAAAGGACTGCTGGTGTTTCCAGTCGGGCTGAGGCTACATGACTTTCTCCTGTGTGGTATTGTAATCATGGGCTGTGGATTGAGGGATACTGAGTAACACTGCATTTCAGACAGTGCTTTTGCTGTGTCGAGTCTCTTCAGCCTTGTCGCCCTGGGACACTGTATGGTCTTAAAAACCAAATACTGGGTGCCTGGTTAGCTCAGGCGGTAGAGCTGGTGACCCATGTACTGAGACTGAGTCCTTGCTGCAGCGGCCCAGGGTTCGAATCCAACCTGCGGCCCTATGCTGTGTGTCATCCCCTCTCTCTCTACCCCCCTTTCCTGTCTATCTTTGGCTGTCCCTATCAAATAAAGTCAATTAAAAGCCCCAAAAAATAACAAATAAACAATAACAAATACTGACATAACTAAACAAAGAAACAACAAACAACATTTAACAACAAAATAAAACATGGCAGATCTTACAGCTGGGTCACAGACAGCGGGTAAAATTATCAAGCCATCATTGAGCTTGAACAGTTAGCCCTAATTAAGAAAGCAGTCTGTAGTAAACTTTATCCACTCAGCTTGTCTGTTCTCTGAGGGTGGGGGCCAATGTAGAGATTGTTGCTGGTTCTTTGTCAGTGTATCACTTCATTTACTTACTTACCCTTTGCTCCTCTAGGGTAGGGATGGACGATAGCACACTTTTAGGAATCAGTACCGATACCGATACTGATCATTTCTTATTGGCAAATTTTTTTCAGTCAAAATATTATTACACCTAAGGCAAATCACGTGACAAATACTGGCCATTTATACCAAATGTGCAATACATAATAAAACAAAAAGTGAAATAAATAACATAAATATAAATGAAATAAATATGAACAAAAACATGCACATTTGCACTTACTTATTTCTCAAAAAAAAGAGCGATCTTGGTATATTATTTACTCATACGCCGCCAGGTACGGGGGTGACTCAGCACATAGTAATTGAAGTAAGCTATCCAAAACAGTTGAAAGTGATGCATGCACCCCCAATTCCTATTTGTTAGTTGATATCGATATTTGTTTAAGGAAAACAATGCCAAGTGAGTAGCGTGAGTATCGATACGCCCATCCCTACTCTAGGGAGACATTGACAGATGTCTTCCACCTGACTTGGTGTCAGTTAGTTTGGAGCTGAGTAAATGTTCAGTAATATAAGCCCTGTTAAACCATCCGATTATTAGAACCACATTTTTGAGTATATTTGAATTTTATTTTCCTACGTAATCAGTGTTATTTCTTACAATATAGCATAGATCAACCTGCATCATGTCTGCATATGTCCTTTGAACGGATTAAGAAGTGCCAACACCAGTGATTGTCCGACCAATGAGAATTTGGTCAGAGGAGAGCATATCGACCAACCAATCGATCAACTGACCAGAAGGTGTCAACCCTACAAATATTAACTGTCATACTACCTAATGTCATATTTGACCTATTAGCAGTTTGTCAGTATCACTGATGAGGCAACGTCTGTTTTGTTGTTCAGCTTTTTAAGCCGTTTACTTCTAACTTGTATCATGTGCATGAGTTCATGTCCATTTTATATTCAATCACACACTACACATACAAAGGAGATGTTGTCAGATGTAATGTTTGGACTAATGAGTGCAGATTTGCTGTCACATTTCTGATGCCAAAAATCAGCGGAACTGTAATTTCATCTGAGGGTGCTTAAATTATTTGTGACTGAAAGTTAGTGATTTACTCGCTGGGCCGGTGACCCCCCTTGTTAGCATACACTGGACTGTTGTGTTTGCTTGCTAACTTTCTGACCAAACCAGGGTTCTGATATGCGTTTCCATGATGCAGGGCTACACCTCGTTCTGGAATGACTGCATTTCATCGGGTTTGCGAGGGTGCATGCTGATCGAACTGGCTCTGCGAGGACGCCTTCAGCTGGAGGCCTGTGGCATGAGGAGGAAAGGTCTGCTGGCCAGAAAGGTAAGGACACATGTTGCTGCTTGTGTATGAAATCAGTAGGTTATTTTATTTTCATATGTCTCACCCTGCTGGGGCGTGAGCATGTAGCAGTTACCTGTAAAGTTAATTTGCAAAAAGGCACGACCAACTCCCTCTACACACGTCTACACCTCTAAACTCTTAACTTCTCTATGTTCCTTCATCATTACAGGCTACATAAAAGTGACAATATAGGATGGAATTTTCTTTGGGGCAAAGTAGTTTTCCATTTACAGATAATTCAAATAGAAAACCTGTTGTCCATTTGCTTGAGAAATAAGGCCCCCACATTCTCTGGTTGGAGCTTGTGCACTATAGAAATTTCTAATATTCTCTGGTTTATGTAATGTAGAAGACGTAATTGACAAATGAATCGATAACAAAAGTTAATTTTAGTTGTATTCTTAGCGAAGTGAGTGAACTGCAAATCACACAGGTTGCCCACGCATCCTGGACACTTGAAAATTTAGAGAAGTTTTCCAGTCATGGAAACACCTGGAAGTTAATTAAAATGACCAAATATCCTGGAAACAATCTATGTTGTCCTGGAAAATGTTATATTTTAGCCCCTGACCCAGGTCGCCTACATAAACCTAGGTGCTGTCGGTAGGATAAACTGTATGACCCTTCAAAGCGGGTTTACCAGATGCAAAGTTGAACTAACATCTGCAAATCTTTTTGGCATCAAGTCTGTTTTTTCCTGCGAGCAAAATTCTTATATCTACATGCATGCAGCCCAATAATGATCCAATTTCTTGTTGCTGCGGTTGATAAATACATGCACAGTGATGTTAATTGTACGTGCAATGAACACTAACTTTCTATAAATTAAAAGGTTTTAAAAAAGTCAACTAAATCAAGTCTATAAATTCTACTTGATTTGAACTTGATTTACTTATGGGCTGTGGCCAAATGAATGTAGTCAATTTGCCTAGAACAGCAGCTTATATGACCGTTTGTAAGCAAGTGCTGTCCTGTATTGTATGAAAAACTCCTGGAAAACGATATGTGGAAAAGAGTGGGAACCTTGAATATACAAATGAGCTGTTAGCAGTTCGGGTGTGTGACGTGATCGTCTCTGTGAGCAGAGCCTCGGTGTATTAAATGTTGTTGTAAGGCACACATTGTAACTGGCTGCCATCATTGTGATTTAAATTTGCAGGTGATTTGTAAGTCAGATGCTCCGACAGGTGATGTGCTCCTGGATGAAGCCCTAAAACACATCAAAGACACACAACCACCAGAGACCGTGCAGAGCTGGATTGAACTTCTCAGTGGTGAGTTGGCTTCTTCACAGGCCCATAGACCCACACTGGGAGGGTATATGTGTACAGAGATCTGTAAGCCAAATTGATCCATGGTGCCACCCTTTGTTTATAGCCAACTTAGTTTTGAGCTGAAGCATATGGTTTGAAAATACAATTATAGCATAGATAGGAATTACCACAGAAGCTGTTTTGAGTCTAGTTTAGAGTCTTCTAATTTCATAATTCATACAAATGGTGCTTATATAATACTACGGTAGTAGTCTAACCCATAAATCATATTTTCATCACCATCGTGATATGCCTGAAATGCGAAAATCATTTTATGTAGGAATGCTTGCAGGAACCCAGTATTAAACGGGGCTCAGGGCTGAAGACCAGAGTATTTATTATCACACCTGCAACCTCTGTCTGTCAGTGAACAGCAGATGAGCAAGTCTGCGGTTGAGATGGTGAAGTCAAGTTAACCTAAAAAATGACTTAGTTAACGACAACTACGCTCGTTACTAAAAGTAAGTGGGATAAAACCTCTGCAAGTGAAAAGGCAATACTTTATTAACAAACTGTTCAAAAAGCATAAGCATGTAGAAAAGCAATATCTGCTCTGTCTGCAGTCTCCCATCCACCACCGCTGTGTTTTCCAACAGCACAGCATGATGGCTCGACTTAAAGCTAATTGTTGCAAGCTAAAATAAAGGCTGCCTTAAGATTTGTTCTTCCACATATCTTAAAAATTGGAAATGAGAAAGGAGAAAAAAATGTGCTCCAGGCTCCTCCCTCTACAAGCATGGTGTTTGAATAGAAGTTGTGAATGAGACATACAGAGGTGGGGTGGGAGAGAAAATTCCAGAATCCCAGACTCCAAAAAGCTGAGTCAAGAATTTCTTTTGTAGATTAGTGACTGTGTCGCAGCACCATCTTTTCAGAGCAGCTCTAATAGGTTTATTGTGACATGTTAGGGGGGTGATGTCATATGAAAAAGTAACACCAATGCCTGCGCTCTATAAGGAACAACATGTCTACCACTGTGTATGCATTGTCTGACATTCTCACTGTGTTTTTTCTGTTGTCCTTGTCAGAGCACCTTGTCACTTTTTCGTGACTGCATTAACTGTCTTTTGTTTTACCGGTTCGTCTATAGGAGAGACGTGGAACCCCCTCAAGCTTCACTATCAACTACGGAACGTGCGTGAACGGCTGGCGAAAAACTTGGTGGAAAAAGGTGTCCTCACTACTGAGAAGCAGAACTTCCTGCTTTTTGATATGACCACACATCCTCTGACCAACAACAACATCAAGCAGCGCCTCATCAAGAAGGTCCAGGAGGCTGTACTGGACAAGTGGGTAAATGACCCCCATCGAATGGAAAAGCGTCTGCTTGCACTCATCTTCTTAGCCCATTCCTCTGACGTCCTGGAAAATGCATTTGCCCCGCTGCTAGACGACCAATACGACCTGGCCATGAAGAGAGTGCGGCAGCTGCTGGAACTAGAGCCTGAGGGGGAGAGCATGAAGGCCAACACCAACGAGCTGCTATGGGCTGTAGTGGCCGCTTTCACTAAATGAGGCTCCCTCAAAGAGGACGAAAAGCAGTTGTGGCATTCAAGTGGCATTGTTCGTTGAGGTAGTGACCCCAACATGGTGACTTGACTGAATTTAGCCCTGCCTGGACCTTTGGAATGGGCTCCCCTAATTTTCTTTTCCTTCCAGATACATGTCCTCGTTGATCCTTCATGGTCCCGTTTCCCCCCATGTGTCATTTATGTGTTCACTTTTGCTAAAAATAATAATCTCATGGAGCTTTGAATGAAGTGGCTGGTGATGATATGGGTGAGGCTGGATTCATATCCTTTCTTTTCTATTGGGCATATCTTTGAAACCGTTTCTTAGGGTACAGTATGTATGGCACCGGTTACTCAAGGTTACCATCCTGACACACCTGATAATGATAATATAAAAAGAACAGGTCAGTGATACTGTACAGGAATGAAAACTTATGCCTTTAAATGAATATCTTCTAACAAAGGTTTATGGATATGATGCAGTTGGTGTTACAGCATTCTTTAAATTTCATATCCAGTACTGGAGTAAGTAATGTGGTCAGGGTCTACTACCTAGTACTGTCAACATTAAGCACTCATTTCCCAAGTTGATCCACCTCATTTATCCGTTATATACACCTGCTTGTCCAGTGAAGGGACACGGGGCTGTCCCAGCTCACGCTGGCCAGGGGGAGGTGTACACCCTGGACATGTCGCCAGTATTTAACTGTGCTAACACATTGAGATAGACAATCTGTCTTACAAGGCAATTTAGAGTTTCCAGTTCACCTGACCCGCATTTTTTTTGGACTGTGGGAAAAAATAATGACAGGTTCCAGCTGCCAGCTGGATTCAATCTGAGGATTTTTTCACTGTGAAGCGACAGTGCTACCCACTGTGACGCCTGGCAGTCTATCCCATCTGGTCTAAAGTTGTGTGGAAGATCATTAATTTGTCAACAGGACAATAAGCATGGAAGTTAAATACAGTCCTTAGAAGATAGAGAGCTGACCTGTATGACATCCCTTATCAGTTACTTTGACCTTAGCCCCTTTAAATATTTTGGGAAAGACTTCAAATGAAAAGCTAGAACCTGATGAACATCATTAGACAGACTTGTTTAGGCTGATGCTAGAATAATACAAATTCCAAAGTTCTGCTAACAGGTGCAGAATGGATGGGGCTGAAACCCAAGGTATGATGATGGAAGGAAAAATAAATATATCGCACATTATCTGAAATAAATAAGCAAAAACAGCTTATACTGTTTTGAATATCCTCGGGCAAGTAATTCTTTATTTTTGTGGACTGGGGTTATCTCATCTGTCTAATATAAACCAGGTTAGATTCAGGATTCCACTCTGTAATATCTGAATGGTAACCATTATCTTAGTCTGGAGTCCAATGTAACCATGTTTCATGTTTGCTTGTATCTCCTCAATAACACAATTGGCTCTACAGATGTGTAATGGATGGAATTTGCAGTGGTCAGAAATGATGCTGGCTGGGGTAACGCAACTCTTTGCAATGAGTGGCTGTTGAGGATCAAACTAAGATATTTTAGTGGCTGGCACAAACTCAGGAATGCAGACCCAGTCAATGTCAGCTACCTTTTTGTTAACAAAATTCAAATAGTTTTCACTTTTCTGTGAATTTAAAATGTAATGAAAAATGAGGTAATCCTCAGGGCTTAATGCAGGATGAATGCATTTATGATATGATCTCAGCTTTTGAGTTTGTGTATGCCACCTGGGCTCTATTTGGAAAAAATAAAACCCCTTCAAGACATTTAGTGAAATATGATTACGTGAAGATGAATGTGAACTCCAAGTCTAATCCAGTACAGGGAGACATCTAGGTCGATTTAAAATGGACAGAGTTAGACATAAACTGCTAGCATGGCTCCCTCAAACATTAAAAAAGATTTTAGATGATTGTATTTGATATGACATATTGTCCGTATTTAAATATACAGAAACAGAAAACAAGATGTTTTGTAGAGAACATGGGAAGTATTTATTGAGCAACACCTGCTAGGGTTGGGTGATATGTAAACATTTTCCAATCAACCACTGTTCTAACAATCACCAACTCTGGTGTCTAATCTTCTAAATTAGATAAAAAAATATTCTGGCTCTACACGTTCTTGATGCCTACGGATGGGAATTAATCAGATTTTATTGATACCAGTGCCATTATCTATTCTGCTTATCTGTCCGATTTACCCTATGTAACAGATGGAAGTGTATGATTCTGATGGATTGGACAATTTGGAACAGGTTCTCAATTTCCATCCCCACTGATGCCTGACCACCGTCCTCAGTCCTCTTGCGCTTGACACCTTTTGTATCCCTGCCGTGTCTTCGTCTTCCTGAGTTAGTCCTGATTGGAGCCGCTCCACTCGTTGGTTGACTCAGTGTGTGTCCTGTGCTGCCGAATGACTGTCTGCTGTTACAATCGCCCAACCCTAAAAACCTGCTGTGTGCAGTGACTTCACATAATCTCAAAGGTCCTGTCCTCATAGTACTAACTACTGTCAGCAAACCCAATACTTGTCAACTGGTGGACCAGCTAGCTAACTACATATAATCTGTAAATCTTACAGCATCAGAAGGTGTATTTCTGTGGAGCTTGGCTACCAGTTCTCTGCTGCTTCAAGGCTTTATGCTAAGAGCTAGGCTAATCATATCCCAAACCTGTCACTGTATTGGATGCACATATGTGAAATAGATATTGATCTTCTTGTGAGCGAGGGCTTGATGGAAAACAAGTGCATTTCCTGAACTGTCAGCAACGCTTTAATGTGCAGACAGTCTTACTTTGCAGTTTCTTGTGAGTGCTCTCTAAATAAATCCATTGTATGTAGTTATCTTTATTATCTAACATGCTCACCAAAGTCTAATCAGAGGAATCAGAAGATGGGCTCACATTCCAGATGCTGATGTGTATATACTTGTGTATTTGTATCAGGCACAGTTGCCCTGTCAGCTTTCCAAAATCTATCATTGTTCAGCTGCACTGTCTTTCATAATAGTGGACATTGGGCTCTGAAACATTCAACAAAGCCTTTTTACCATGAACCATACCTTGCCCTTAATTTCATTTTTACATTTGTTTAACTGTTCTCTGTTTTAACACAACTACTGAACCTCCAACAACATGTCGCCAGTATATTACTGTGCTGACACAGACAACCATTCACACCTTCAGGCAGTTTAGTGTGCAGTTGATCTGGGCTGCATGTCTTTGGACTGTGGGAGAAAACTTTTGCGGGCACTTTGAGAGACTGCCTGCTGGATTCAAACTAAGGATTTTCTTGCCGTGAAGCAGCAGCGCTGACCACTGAGCCACCGTGCCACCCGACGTTTATTCCTTCTGGCCTAAAGTTGTGTTAAACTTGTTCTCTGTTTTAACACAACTTTTGCTACTCAGCCTCATGGATCGTGAGAGACATTGCTTTGTTACAGATGTTCCCTGAAACTGTATGTAGCAAAGGGCTGGGGGAGAGGAGAGGGAGAGGAGAGG